CATACTGCACATTCGTACAATTCCAATATTTATACAGTATTTGTAGCGACAATGCCAGAGAATCCCTGCTAAAGCCCTCAGATATGGTGTCTGGGAGGGAGAATAATCATTATAAATTGCAATTGCATAGAGAAAACTAGATCTAACTACTGTACAAACCCATACTGTACAGAGTCATCATTCAATTTACAAAGTAATCTAAATTTAAAAATGTTTTATTTCTATCAAATTCAACAATCTCCTTACAAAACTGGTTCCTTCAGGTAATTTGTATAAAATCCTATTATTTCCCTGACTTAAACTAAGAACCAACTAAATAATTTGATGGCATGCACAATGTTTAATAATAATTTGATCAGTATAAGAAGCAAGAGTTCTCAGAATTCTCCAAATCACCACTGTTTCCAAAAAACAAGGATATATTGTAAGTACCGGCACATTAAAAAAAAAAAAAAAAAAAAAATGGATATAATTTTAAGCTAAAAAGGTTGGGGCTGGGGAAATATCAACAAAATAAGGCAGCCAATATCTTGACATTTAGGATCCTGTTTAGAGTGATCATTCATGCACTTAACAAATTATCAATTGGAGGAGAAGCCATGGAAATTAGTTTGATCTTAGGTTAGTTAAGAACTACTAATATTGGTTTGTTATTTTTTTCAAACTGAACTACGGTATGTTCCTTGAATGAACACTGGGAAATTTATAATCTGAGCATGACGTGTTGTTAACTGGAAAAAATCTAATAATTGAATGAATATTAAAGGAATACATCGTATTGTTAAGGTTACTTTTATTTTCAGCCCAAATAACACAAGGTAATGAACCTTTAATTTAATGTAAATTTTGACAATCTGCCAACTTTTTTCAGACTAATTGATGACAATGTATTCAAAACTTTTCATATATTTTATCTATTGGGAAGTTGTTTATTGGGCTTATGCCCACTCAGCAACCCTTGCTTGCTTTCTATTGTTTGTTTCATTTCACTTGATTGAATTGTGTTTGTAATCTATGTTGCAAGTGAAAATTTGAACTATATAATTAATTCAACCGGAATAAGCATTCACCCTAGAAGCTCTGCATAATTGAAATTTAGACTGTTATTTAGTGTAAGAAATCTGTGTAGGAAATTTTACATACAATGGTACAACATACTTTTTTTTATATGACTATAAAATATTAAGGTAAAGAAACATAAGAAAGTATAAGGTACAGTACAAACAAATCAGATAAATCAAGCTTGCCTATTAACTGTGACAAAATAATTTTCTTTGAACATTAACATGAAGTGGCAGCTCGGCATAGCTAGGTGATGACAGGCCCCAGCACAAAATTTAATTGTCTGGCCCTTTGATATGAAGTGTTAACCGGGGGTGTGTCGCATATCCACAATAAGGCTCAGGGTCTGCTAAGGAACTGGTGTCATCTGGGGAAAAGCCCAAGTTTAAAATTTGGTGAAAGCTGTATTTGATGTTTCCCCTATATTCATATGCACATTGGCAAAGGAAGAATCAGGGCCAATATTATTGTACGCCTAGTAAATAATCGAGTGGCGATCCATTTAGGCTTTACACAAGACAAACACCCATGCTTTTTAACAAAACTCAATGAGGTACGGAATACATTGTTTGTTGTGAAAAAAAAAAAACAAAACTGCAACTTACAGGAATTAAACCCAGGACACTGAGATAGGAAGACAATCTTTTATCTTCTTAATTTTAATGACCAAGCAACAGTTTCTTCGAAAAATCACATGCACTACAGTACAAATCACATCACTACGTAATCATTGAATGTATAACGAAATCAAGCCCAATTTTGAAAGGTTCAGATCTAGTATGGTTCCCTTTATGGTAAAACTTTTAAACAAACAATGATGAATTGATTTGATCAAGGCTAACATGTATTTTTTTTTTTTTTTTTGAAAAAAACTTTCCCACTTTTTCACTGCCTGTTTTAATCTCCTCTTAACAATAATAATAATAATAACTGTCTCTTATACACATCTAGATGTGTATAAGAGACAGGCTTTACACAAGACAAACACCCATTGCTTTTTAACAAAACTCAATGAGGTACGGAATACATTGTTTGTTGTGAAAAAAAAAAAACAAAACTGCAACTTACAGGAATTAAACCCAGGACACTGAGATAGGAAGACAATCTTTTATCTTCTTAATTTTAATGACCAAGCAACAGTTTCTTCGAAAAATCACATGCACTACAGTACAAATCACATCACTACGTAATCATTGAATGTATAACGAAATCAAGCCCAATTTTGAAAGGTTCAGATCTAGTATGGTTCCCTTTATGGTAAAACTTTTAAACAAACAATGATGAATTGATTTGATCAAGGCTAACATGTATTTTTTTTTTTTTTTTTGAAAAAAACTTTCCCACTTTTTCACTGCCTGTTTTAATCTCCTCTTACCCAAATTTTTAAAAGAATAATGAAAATTAATATGGCAATTTATAATTGTTGCTGAGATTATTTTAATTTTTTAAATTTTTATTTCTTAGCTATCTTTTTTTCTGCTTTTTTAATGTGTTTTATCTGTGTTTTTTAAACTTTGTGGTGCTGTGTGTTGTTCAATTGTTTCTCTTCTGTACTTTTCAATAACAATTTTATCTGTATATACTGTAAACTTTTCGCAATTCAGTATTTTACTGCCAGTTGAAGTTAATAAAGAAATCTGAAATCTACAGCTCCACACAATATTAGTGCATGTGAAACCATTTAATTATATTTAATTAAATACCAATTTATGATTTTTCTAGGAAAGGTCTACTACAGGCATAGGTCTAAATAGTTTTTACCTAGCCCTAAATAAGGTCTAGTCTGAAGACCAGTCGGAAAAGTGTCGAACGTCCTACACATGGGTCCAATTGTCCGAATCATATCGGCCATCGCCCTGTATATGTGCACGATCGACTGTCACTGATGTCAAAATGAACGTACGGAAGCAGGCTAGGCCTAAATTAAACCTTGTGAAAATGGAATCTGATTTTAACATACGCAGCAAAGTCACTTATAACAAACAAAACTAGAAAAGCCGTGTACGTTCAATAGCTAAGTGATGTAAAAAGACAACATTCTTCGTCTGGGGAGCAGCCCGCTCGAGTTCGATACCGAACGAATGGAAATTTACTCGATGCTGCCGATCGAATAATACGTTTTTCACAAGCCACCAAAGCCAATAAATATTCACTTATATGAAAAGTAAGTATATGTGATTAGCAGAACCTATATTAAAATTACTTTTACACAAATTAAGTACGTCAAAATACCTGAAAAGATGAGTATCTAAGCAGCAAGGCAGCTTGATTCTCTCGTCAATACAGTAGGCTAGGTATGAACCATCTTCGAAAATTTAATAACCAACAACTGATGACGTTCCATTTTGTGCTCACGCACACTTACGTGACGAAGTAGTCAAATAAGGTCATGTCGTGTCATATTTGTTTGTAAACATTACAACGATTGCTACATTAATTTTATTTTTACCAACACATGAGTAGAGTGGCGTTTATTTGAGTAAAAATGATGTATTTTTTTTATATTGATTTATAACATTATAACTTAATAATGAACAGTATATATATATATATATATTTGCTATCGAAAAGCGGCATTATAGAATAGTTGTTTCAATAGTAGGCCTACCGTAGAGTGATGGAAAAATGAATATTCAGCAATAAAAATCATTTTGTATATATACTGTACAAGAAATCCATGATATCAAAACGATTCTAGCCTACATTTCCACATATTCGATTCAAAGGAATGTAGTCATTTCAGAGATATATATGGACTGCACATTATTGTAGAACGCCCTTTAGTTGGAGGGGAAAGTTTTTTTCCCTCCAACTTTTCTGTTCTATTATTGAATAATTAAAGTATTACTTTAATTATACAATATTGAATAATTAAAGTATTACTTTAATTATTCAATAATAGAACAGAAAAGAAAACTTTCCCCTTCAACTAAAGGGCGTTCTACAATAATGTGCAGTCCATTGCATTCCGCTTGGAATCGTTCAGTTTTCGAATTTACGAATTTCTGTAGTACATAAATGGACTTTCCTGTCAAGCAGACGATGGGTTTAGGAAAAACACAGAAAAACAATAATAAACAGATATCAGTTAAAAAAGAAAATTAAAATCTCTGCTGATGACGAAGACAGCGTAGTCTTTCACATTCAGCAACATACGCATTAGATGAGAATTGGCAACCATTTTGTCAATGCAGAACACCACAAAGCTCAGTTGATCGCCATGGTCTCACATGTGACGGAAGGAATATTGAAAGCAGTTAGGTCACGCTTTATGACGAAGTTTCGGACGTCCACAAGGTCGAGGTGAATTCGCTAGTTCACCGTAAAGGATCTTCCTTGGTAAGCGGCTTTCGAGTAAAATCATCGAATAACTATTTCCCCCTTATCTTCAAGTTATTGAAACTTTAATAATTGTGATTCTTTTAAATTAGCAATTCAATATTTTGTTTTTCTAAACACCAATACATTCTATATTTTAGTAATATAAATAGTGCATCTGACTGCTTCATAAATCGAAGAATGTTAGATGACAATGGAAAATAAAGGTTAAAATTGAGATGTTGTTCAGAAAAAAAAAATGGGCTAAAAAGCCTGAAAATTATTTGATAACAGACTGGTAGGGCTGAGACTCAAAACGCTACCATTTACGACTGTAAATAGGTGAAAAGAGACGTATATAAAATGCATTGCTCATTAATGCATGTATTTTAACCACCATCAGATTTGTTAGCACAAGTAATGAATTGAAATAAGTAAAAACATTTCATAAATCAAATGTGTAAATGTAACATGATTGAATTGTGTGGGTGGCCTTGTTAGTCTAAATATACAGCGGTAAACATGAAAAAGACAGCACTAACAAACTTGAAATTTACCCACAAGCCTTTGCTTAAGGGGACTGTGCAAATGTAACAGTAAATAAAAACGCTAGTCGTGCATCAAGTAAAAACTGTTTATTCAAGATTATTACTGCAATTCTTATGCCATCTTAAATACCAAATGCAGGATAAATAAACAATTATTTTCACAATTCTCAAAAATGTAAAAATTACCTGCATGCATCTTTATTAATGTAAAATAATTGGACAAATTGATTAACATTAAAAAGGAAGAAATTAATGATTCCACCAGATAACTTCTCATTAGTCGGTCACTTCAGAAGATTAAATTGATTAAACCAAATTATGACCATAGCTTAACACAAATAAATATCAATGTTGTCAACAACACTATTAATTATAATAATAATAATAAAAATAATAATAATAATAATAAAATTAATAATAATAACTAGCACTACCTCAGACTTATCTTTAGTGTTATTTTTCCCTTAACATTTTTTTTTAAAATTGTTCTCTAATTTCTCCATTGTCTTTTTTTAATTGTTCTCTAATTTCTCCATTGTCTAAGTTCCCCTTAAGTTTTAGTAACATAATAATAACAATAATAATAATAATAATGTTTAATAATATATAGCGCATAATGTTGGGGTGTTTGGCTTGGAATATGTATACAACTCTATCCCATAAACTAGGTGGTTGTTGGCCCACTAAGCATGGGTATTATGCGACATATAAATACAGTACTGTTACAATGTAACATTTCACAACCCAGACTTTTTTTAAAACTTGCATATTTCCGGATCCGGCAATTGATATACGGTACAATTTGTACATTAAAACATACATTCATATTCTGGGGAAACGGTTTGTTATGTGGTAATCTCAATATAGCATAAAGCATTGGTGATATCCTCTATTTGAGGTGAACATGCACTAACTTCAAAATCTGATCAATATTACTTGCATGCTTGATACTTGCTTGATGTTTTTGGGTCGGTTGGATCGGATTTTATCAAAGTCGCCAATGTGAATGAGGCAATATTTGCTATTGAATTCTGGTTTAAAAAGGTGCATTTTGCTGAATATGATAGCAAAAGTATTGTAAAAGTTACTTTCCATCATAAATATTAAAAAAATAAAAATAAAAATTTGGTATGATAAATCCGACAGGCAACTTCCATTGTTGATTTTAAGGCAGCTTTCAAAAATCACCTTTTTAACGTGTACTTTTCTTAAATTTTTTCTCCTGGCATTTTCACTTTTATTGTTAAGTGTATTGAGGCTTTAGCATAATGTGCTATATAAGCCAAAATTATTATTATTATTATTATTAAACCTAATAGAAGTGATATGATATAATGTAATAGGCTTGCGTAAGTCAACATCAACTTATTGGTTTGTTTGTTAAAAAATTTATTAGGTCGAAATGGTATCAATAGCCTAAATGTTCAATTTGCTAAAATTGTGTTTCAATCAGTTTAAAAGTTATTTGCATTATCTTGTAATATTTATACATTCATTTTACACAGATCATAGTGGATCAGTAGTAAACACAGAACTTATAGAGCAAGAACTGTGGGTGAAGTACTGACTTAAATTGCATTCAGACTGGATTGAAGAGATCAGCATCAGTGGTCATATATGATGATTGGCAGGATTTATCACAGTAAGTCATCACTCCACCACTTGGAACTGCAACTAATATGTTATTTAATCTCTTCAGATCCAGCTCAATCAGGTATTTTGTAGATAAACCATTTCTTTTCATAATATACATAAACATAAATATAAATATATCTGTGATTATAATTTGAATATCTGGAGTGCTCCTCAAGCAGTCTCCACAGACCACTTCAAACCACAAACTTTCACTGTTCATCTTTCCACAGACGACCCAGATAATTTCAATGTTACCAACACTTGGTGTTAATTATGGTAATCTAATATGTGACATGTGGTCTAGAAAGTTGGAAATTACGGCGACATTTCTGACATCTAAGTCCCCCTTCAGGGAAATTGTCTAGTCTTGTGCGTTTCAATTTTGTGGACAGATGCAGAGATTAATGTTGAATAATCGGCATGCTGTATTGCAACGACAGCTCTTCTTGCAGAAGGAAAAAGTGGACAAGACGATTATCAACAATATCTGAGAAGAAAAAATACAGTATACCGGTAAATCATTAAATATTACATTAATATCTTATCTAAGTATGGAGTTGCCATACTTTGAAATACTACCGAACAAAAAACCGCATTTCAGACTGATAGAAACACATCATATTTTAGAAATTTATGATTTATTCTACAATGGTGTTGTGCGATGTGTAGTTGAACCGCTGTAATTGTTTTTATGTTTTTTATAAATAATAAAGACATACACTATCAAATAAATAAAACACTTCCTTGAGACCTGGGCTTGATATGCCTAAAAATTATGCATCAGATCATCTCTGATTTCCGGTGATGCCTGTCACCATCTCATGAACATTCTCTTAACTCGCAGTGAATACACGAGACGGTTGTTAGAGCAGCTAACTGCCCATATTTATCACACCTTGGGAAGCTGTGAGGCTAGATTTCTTAAAGAGTTATTTGAATTTGTTTTCAATCAAATAAATACACACCAAATGTCTCTTTTCATTCAATCTATTTAAAATGCCCCCAATAAAGCCTGGTTTCCATACAATCGCTACACGCTCTCGCCATCTCCTTTGGTGGTGCTGATTGGTCAGTTCAATCAGGAAGAATTCCCAATTACGTTTGGGGATAGCTATGCCGTGCAAGGATCGCAGTGAAAATGTTGTAACGACTGTGTAGTGATTCTATGGAAAACATTGTTTGACAATCTCATTCCTTGATGAAACCAGAAAGATGAAATCATGGCAATGAATATGGATTAGATTGTCAAAACATACCGGTATTTGACACAGTACAGCCTGGAGGCCTGGCTACGAAATTTACTACTACTCTTACGTACTATATCCACACTATCAAATTTTATGTGACAAATTTGTGTGATGTGCCCATATATGGGTATGACGATGTCATATTACACCCAAATATGGGCATATCACATTTTTTTGTCACATAAAATTTGGAAGTGTGACAGAGCTTTAGACATATGTATGATGTCATATAGAAAAGAAATACTTTAAGAAAGCTCTTTTGATTAGACTAATATTCATAAAAATAAAAAAAAATATCACATTTCTAAAAAAGGAAGCACAAAACCTGATAAAAAATTGAAAAATCTGCAGTTCCTATAGGCAAAAAAGCTATAAATGTAGGAAACTTATACTTACTACAAATTATCTTCTGTGGGTTGAGTTGAAGTCCAGTTAGAAACATCTGAAATTTCTTAATGTCTATCTTTGCACCAAATGATTGATCCTTTTCTTTTGGACTAGACTGTTGATCATCTGACAAAAAAAAACCAATTTGACTATTATTTCCTTTTAAATTTCAACACTGCTACAAAGAACATAAAAATGCATTGATTAATATATTTATTTGTATATAATATTTAATATAAAAAATTTGTAAATACTCATTTGCGAAATCTGACTTGAATATTACCTTTTGTAACTATTGTTTCTGTAATTTTGCTGTTATTTTTAATGTTTTTTATATTTATTTTTAATGTTTTTCTAATGTAATTTTTAATATACAATAGTTTACTATATTTTTAAATAATGATTTCTTCAAACAATTACATTTAGCTTCGTTATTATTGCATTCATTTTCGTAAAAGCTATTACGAAACGGAGTACTTACGTAGGACATTTTGATCTCTAACAGAGATCTTTATCAACTGAGAGGCCAAAATACTTGCAAAGGAACCAAAACACAAAGAGAGACAGACCAGTGTGTCATTACATATAAGAAGATATAAAGATAAAACAATAAACAGGGATCAATGTGCGCATGAACTTTCCAACCTATACAATGATTTAATTACATCATCACCTGGCCGGGCCCCACACAACCTCGAACAGGAAGGAGCGTAAAACGTCATTAACAGATGATATCATGACCAAGTTGCAATTCCATCTAACAGTTAGTTGATGAAGATCACTGTTAAAGATCAAAACGTCCAGAGTAAGAACTTCGTTTCTTACTAGGTTTTACAAACAAGAATCTGTCATCTAAATAATGATTTGTAAATTAATAAAATTTGAATTGCTATAATCTCACCATAATATTGAACTTCCAACGACTTGAAGTGGGTTGATACAGTTGCCATTTGACTCTCAACTTTCAAAGTCATATCTCCTTTCTGATTGGCTGAAAGTTCCTGTAAGAGAATACTACAACAAAAGTCTACAACATCCTGAAGCCTACATGAATAACATAACATTGTCCGCTTCTTTTAGTATTTCTTGGTAGAGCAATGAATGCAAATTCATTCCATATTTATGATATTAACATCCTATGTAAATATGATAGATGTAAACTCCTGATGAACAAACATTAGTTCAAGTGCCTTGCAAAAGCACACAAGCAATATGTCCACTAAGCCAATTGCTACATAAGCCAGTGAACTATATGTTGAAAAACTCAGTAAACCATATGCTACATAACCTAGTAACCCATACACTACATAACCCAGTAACATGCATTAAAGAACTTACCAAATAGCTTCCTATATTCTTCATTCGTTCCACAACATTTTTGAGGAATTTCAGAGAGGGCATACAAATGCTAACCTGTGAAATTAGAAATAAACAAGGTAAATGCCTTGGTCACAATGTAACATCACTTTTGACTAATCCAACTATAGATCCTAGCTATATTATAAGCTGGTTAATGTTACTTAAACATTAATATAATTCTGGATAGTACAATAATGTGATTGTAGGGGACCCAAGTTGGGAGTTAGCCTCTTCCAAAAGATCTGGTTAGATGCAAGTTTTTAATATATATTTTGCTGTGTGTGGTGATATCATCACTAGCAGACTTCAGGGAAACTATTGATAATATATCTAGTAGTACAAACATGAACACATCATGAATTTGTTGGAGATTGGTTAGTTTCCAGAAAAGTTTTGTTTGCTTGAAGAAGGGCTAGAGAACCTGCTGATTTCCAGGCCACTTGGGACCACATGACACAAACTAAATAATGATAAGTAGCATATGGTACCGCCTTAATAATCAACTATGCTCCCTAACAGATACAGACAATAAGAAGTGCAGCCTGTATTACAGGTGCTATATTTTCATTGATGAACTCACGAATATAAAATACATGTTTTCATAAATAAAATAAAACTCTTTTCAGTTTTAATTTTAAGTGATTTATGCTTAAATGCAAGTAGGCAGTAGTTACTTGAAATCTTTTTATGTATTACAAACAATTATTTCAAAAATAGTAATGCCTGCCTGCTTCAATGTACTTAATGGGAAAAAACTTTCATTAGTGCAAATTTATGTCAATTGTTTGTCTAAACAAGATTAAAGTATCTAAAATAATTGTGAGATAAAATGAGAAAAAACACTCAAAAACCTGTTGTATTGATAATTGGATAATGATTCTGTAATCTTACATCAAAGTCTGGAATGGTTGGTTCCTGAAACTCATCCCACAAACGCTTGGGAATAATATTAACTGGAACATCATGATTTACATTTCTACTATGCCCGCTCACAGAACACTAGTAAAAATAATATAAATCTTTGGTTAGTATGAAACCTATACTGGTGGAAGAATGTTAATAAATCTTTCTCATAATTTTTTGTTAAATTACATTAAAGGAGAAATGAAAGTAGAAGCATCCCAATCCTATGCATTACAATGGCCTGTCGCTAAAGTTGGATGGAGCGACGCACCTGGCACGTTATCACAAATTTAGTTTAGAACGTCTATGTAACGAACGCGCACAAAATTCATAATTTCAAAAATGGGATATTATGTAACTGATTATGATAAATCAGTTCTTAAATTATAAAAAAAATTTTAAACTTCTCCTTAAAAAACAACATTTATCCATGCTATTTTTTTCATATAATTAGAAATCATTTTATAGATAATATAAACAAATTATGTGAACTGGAAATAGAGGCCTGATATACATACATAAAATGAACTGTTTCTAAAATACAGTAACTAAAAACCTTTTCTTACCAGCTCCACGAAAAAAGTGAGGCAAGGACTAAATTTTTTAGTGAGCTTGATTTTGAGAGTTTTAGCAAACTGAGCTGTTTTTGCTGCTCGCACTAGGTCATCAGGAGTCACTTCTAGGTAGATTTCATTTGCGTCAGAAGCAAGACCCTCCATATTGAACTCATCAAAGAAATTACTCTGTAAAATAAAGTTCATGACACTATTAAATCAATTATATATCAATATTATCACCATTATTATTTTTATTGTTATTGTCTGTGTAGTAGCAGACAGCAAATACATCTTAAAAATACCACAATAATTTTCAACCTCAATACCATATAGGCAAAGCCTAATGAATTTTATTATCAAAACTCGGTATACTATAAAACAGACATGTTTCGGCAAATCCTTCGCCATCTTCAGTGAAACGATGATTGCTAACATGCAATCTACTATTTAAAGGGAGTGAACAACTGTGAAGCATTGTATTTTAAATAAATGGGAATTGAACCATAGCTATTTGAACAGACATCATGACATTGCATTTTTAGAGAATCGATTTGACTGTAATTGTAAAGAAGAAAGAATGGCATGAATAAAGATGATACCATAATGATGAACATCAAAACGACAATCTGTTATTGGGATATTACAGATGTCACCATCAATTCAATTAAAATTTCATTATGAGTAAAAATCATAAAAAAATACATCAGAATTACAAAAACAAAACCAAAATAGAGGGCTGCCAAATTAAGATAAACAAAAGTAAAAACAAAATAAATGAAATGAAAGTACACAAACATGAAACTTTTCTATGGCTCTCCAATGCAATGCATGGAATACAATAATTGTATCATTTACTAAAAAAAGAAAATTAAATTTAGCCAACGACAGAAACGCGTCTGGGAAAACCATGTATTACAAACGCGTCTGGGAAAGCGATCGTCTAATTATCGTGCCTCATGAATATTAATAAGCTAGTCGGAATATGTCCCAGACGCGTCTAAACGGGTTTGTGCTGTTGAACGCGTTTGCCATTGTTTCTATTGTTTTGGGCGACAAACGCGTCTGTGTCATTAGACCAGGCCCCGGTTGAACTACCGTTTTTGTACAATTTAAAAAAATACTGAACAAGTTTTACTTTGAAATGAACCAAGTTCAAAGTTTAAAGGCTGCATAGTCCTAATAGTTAAATTAAGTGGTAATGACGATAATGGCAGCACATATGCATGTAGGCCTAAGTGCCGTTTGCTCTGTCGGAAAGACCTATCTTCGTTAAATAGCAGCCTACCAGCTAAGAAGCTGACGACGAACGAAGAAACATTTATCAACTCCCTGCACACATATCACATGCGAACACAAATAGACGCCAGTATTCGCCAAACATTATTCAATAAACTATAGAGAAAATAGAACATCTATTTTCTCTATTATTAAACGTAGGCATCAATATATATTATATACAGCAACTAGGCCTATGCAACTACTGTACAATTAATATTGGGTACCTCGTGTGTGTGGATGTGATCAGTCCAACAGAGTACGCAACATCACGTGACAAATGTCACTGACTGTGTGACCGGTGTTGATCTATACATGGAGGAAAAAACTTTCCTCCTTGGTCTACAGAAATTCGCTTTGAGCGCCGCTCTGACAGAAGTGGGTCAGTTGAGATGCTAACAATAGGACGTTCGATGGAGTGCCTGCCGGGCGGAGACCTGTCTCTTATACACATCTAGATGTGTATAAGAGACCTCTATTTTACGAATCCCCCGATTTACGTACGCCCTCTGGTCCCGTACCGTACGTAAAATCGAGGTTCTACTGTAATAATACAAACATGTATTAAATTCATATAGCCTACAAAGTAAAACACAATGCCGTAGCATACGTTGTTCTACGTGCGATATCACGTGGCATCACGTGATCGCCACAACAAACTTCTTCAACTGCGGCTGATCCAAGTCAGTGTTTACATGCTGTATTGTGCGGGCTGTGCAGGCACGTGGGAATTAGAAAGTTGGGCAAAAGGTACTTGTTTTGATAGGTCAATTCGAACATCGCACAATATAATCTAGATGTGTATAAGAGACAGACCTTATACTTATCTATAAAACCTACAGGTAACGGTAGGGCTTAGCCTACTAAAATACAAGAAACATTGGGGTTTCCCCAACAAGAAAAATAATTAAATTTAGGCCTTTATTATAAACATTTCTTCGTAAACTGTCACCTAACGTAGGCTAGCATTTTACTACCAGGCTACTACTATTATAAATATAGGCCTAGGCCTACATAGCCTAGGTACGGTAGGGACACTGAACAAGTTTTGAAGTTGTTTAAATCACGATCAAATTCCAAATTTCGCTGAACGCGTTTAACATTTTGCCATTCACGAGCAGTCAGCCATATGAAAAGGGGAGGAGTTAACTTCCAAACGGAATAAACGGCTCGAACGACAAGCTTCCAAACGGCATTTCACAGACGCGTTTGGGAGCTTGTCATATAACAATAGTAAACGTGTTTGACCCGTTTCTGTCGTTGGGGATAATTTGTAGATCACGCCTAAAGCAACTTGGTTTATAAAGCATTGTTCCATTCTGTGATTGGTGAGTTACTTGAGCAGCATTGATTGCATGACATAAATTCAGTAAGAATGTGTGCACAGTTTTTGAGTTTACAAACCTGGTCTACACACACACACACCACCCACGCACCACCCACACAAAGAAATACATGAAAAGGTCAAAGGCTAGACATGTCTAATAGAAGGATTACTTCTTACATAGTAATCACCAAAAAGCACAAAATAAACTTACAGCGGTAACTTCACACCAGATGTTTCCCTTTGAAATGTTGTCATTGAGAATGAAGAACATCTTATCTTCTGTTATCCGCAGGACACATAGCTGTGTCATCTTTGCTATAGTTGTCAAAACTCCTACATGAATAAAGGACAAGTCATGTTGAAATTGTCACTCCCAGAATTCATAGACCTCTTTCGGTATTTACATTGGACTGGTGGAGAAGCTGGCGGCGCACTCCACTGGTAGACAAAAAGTTTGCAGAGGATAGGACAAATGCACAGAAAAGCAGAATACTGGTTATCTTTTTTTTTGTTGTGCCAAAAATACAAAAGCTACATGAATAAAATTCACATGGCATAGTGTATATTGGGAATCGACAATCCCTGATGATCATTTTTTTTAAAAAGATGTATTGTCTGACGAAAAAAATTAAAATAATTTATTATTTGGACTTTAAATGAATATCATAAAAATGAAGTTAACGCATGACTGTAGCTTGCGTATTGAAAAATTATCTTGGCACGTTCATAGAAATAGGTATAAATAAGTTTAGAAATGGACCCACAGACTGAAAGATTAACGTTAAAAGAGAGTTACAGTGGATATGTATAGCTAATTACTGATCTTACAAATGGTCGCTCCTCGTACAGTATATATCAGCAATTCAATTAATTGACACTCCAAAAGCCATCAAGGGCAATATCTGCAAAAATTACTGTATATAAATCGGATATGTTTCATAAGCAAGGCGCTGCCATGATGACATTGGGCCACTGACTGGGTAACCCAGGCGTGGTTTCATTATTTTTGGGTTCAGCTCTATCTTCTCCTTCTGTTAGATTTTTTGATATAGGTAGACCGCATGGTGCATATCATGTTCATTCTTTACTCCTTCTTCAGATTTTTCAGAAAATTAGGCTTTGGTATTCTGTTGTTACCATAAAATAATGATACTGTAAAACAGAATCTATTTTGTCACCACAAAATGCTTTTTTTTGTTGATGAAATAGCTTTTTCTAAGACAAACTTAATTTTATTGCTACAAAATACTATTTTGTCGACAAAAGGATTTTTCGTTGTCGACAAAAATACTTTATTTTTTAGAAGACAATTTATTTTGCCGACAGAAACACGGGCCTTTTGTGCGAGACAGAACGAGGTTATATGCAAATGAGGAGGCGGAGCCCGTTTGTCTGTAATTCCTGTAGTAGGCCTGCTGCAGTGCTAGGCTTAGCCTACCCTAGGGCCTAGCTAGCCTACTGGTGGTGGTGGTGCTACTACTAGGCCCCTAGGCTTAGGTTAGGCTATCCTACAGCCTAGCCTGCCCTCTTCTTGGCCGGCAGCAGAGGTTCTTAAACTCACGGAACACAGAATCGACTTACGGATAAATCTATCTATGCACGCAACATCCACAACCTTAGCTCTAAACTTCATACTTATTTAGGCATAGGATATAAAAGTACGTCAATGTAGGTCCTAAGCCAGGCCTATAGTCCTATGCCTGGGCCTTCACATCACAACAATCACGCACTTCGAATTCATTTTCACCGCTCTCACTGATAACCTTTGACACGAGCGAGCTGGTCGTCGCCGCGCCGCCCGCGATTTTTTTTTCCGTACGAAACATTTGCATGAAACTTCACTCGGGCCATCTCGGATTGACTCG